TCACACACTTCCCATCATCACCCTACACCCACCAGCACCCTATCCCCTCACACACCTCATGCCCTAACCCTCAACTTCTGACACTCTGAACCCTATATCATTCTGCCCTCAAGACACACCTTAACCCTGACACAGCAACTGTGCCTGTATTGATCTCCACCCCTCATTCGTATCCTCCAAACATCTGCCAAACTTCTGCAACTCCTCTCCGACCCATTCCTGTACATACTTTGAACACTTCCACGCACTGTGTCAGACTGGCTGCTGGGTATTTAGCATATAGCACTCACTGCTGTAAACGGAGGCTTCCAATTCCTAATGCTTTTCCCCAGTGCAGCCTCCAGTGGTTCCTGGACAATTTTTTTTTGTGATAGTATGTTTCTGTCCAGGGAAATCGAGAGGAGAATCGTGAAAGTGTCAGTGATTAATTTGTTTTTGATCTTTTTGGAAATGGTGTGTCCACCTCTGATCATAAATTTCAGACCTGTCTGTTAAATTTCCAATCTCGAAATTGAGCAAGTACTTTTACAAACACAGAGAACGCTTTTGATGGAATGATGTGTTCCTACATTTGGAGGAAGCACTGCAGGTGAATTTCAGAATGTTGCTCCAAGACCATGAATGCCGTTCAGGAAGACCTTTAACAACCTCATTGTGCCTGAGTTCATTTACAAAGGGCATTTCCTGCCAACTACACCACGAACCACATTTATTGCATCTTCATCATCTAACTACCAATAATCAGTTCTCAAATCTCAATTTATCTGCTGAACTCATTAATTTCACACTGAGCGCTGTGTCAAAACTTACATCCACAACTCAACGCACAAATAGTGGCAGCTTTTCAACGATGCACAGTTCAATGATTGTACACTTTCCCAAAATCTTTTATCATTTAAGATGATTGCACAAGGAACAGAGATTTCCCAGAGCTGTGTTTAACTGTGAAAGATGAAAGCACTTGGTCGAGAATACAGTGCCATTCAACATGCATGACCTTCAATGAAATGTGTACAGACCTGACCCGAACCATGG